AATATGTAGTCAGCCACTGCCAACCAAACACCTTAACTTGGAGCACCAGTCCTACTATTCTCATCCACCAGCAGTTGTGGACACTAACAGAAGAATCAAATTATTGGTTGGCCTCTGCAGTAAACTACAACAATCACTGCTCCAATTAATGGATGTATACAACACTGCAGGCAGCTTGCACACATAATGTGCAAGCTGCACATTATGTGTGCAGCTTGCACATTAAACCATTCCCATAACAAGGCAGCTCATCACTGTGTCATTGTGGGGGGATGCATTGTAAGACCAGGGTTTGTGCACGGACCTCACAGATTGGGCATGGTTCCATCACGGTCCAACCAGCAATTTAATATGGCTGCATCTGTAGTTTCACTCACAGACAGAAATGATCTTACTGGCTGTATTCACTATGCGTTGCAGAGTCCTTCTGCAGGAGGCAGTGCAGGTTCCGTACCACACAGTGATGCAGCCAGTGATGATGCTCTCAGTGATGCCCCAGTAGAAGGAGCACATGATGGGAGGGTGGGACACTGGCTCTCCTCAGTTTGCAGAGGAAGTAGAAGCATGTTTGAGCTTTCTTGGCCAGTGATGTGGTGTTGTTGGTCCAGGAGAGATCCTCAAAGATGTGCACGCCTAGGAACTTGATACTGCTCACTCTCTCCACTACAGCACCATCAATGGTCAGTGGTGGATGCTTTAGAAGTTTTCTCCTGAAGTCCACAACAATCTCTTTAGTCTTCCCCACATTGAGGGAGAGGTTGTTGTCCTTACACTACTGGACCAGTTGGCAAACCTCACTCCTGTAGTTGGCCTCATCATTCTTGGTAATGAGGCCAACTAAAGTCGTGTCATCTGCAAATATTGCCTAATTGCTACACAGTCAAAAGCTTTTTATATTGACAATGCTCTCTCATTTTTCCAATTTTCACTTATTTTGTAGAATTTCTGAATATTTCTGTGGAAAAAAAATTATGGAATTAAAGAATTCTTTAAGATTTTAGTCACAAGGAGCAGCAAAGCAGAAAATAAAATTCCAGAAATGACTAATAATTGTTAATGTCTGTCATTACAAGAAATCTTTCCCATTAAGTGTTTCTTTGTGTTATGCTCCGGCCTAAACAGAATTATATAACATTTTGGAAGAAAAATGCAGAACAGTAGCCCATAGCTGGAGGCCAGAATAGCAAATATCTCTACAGCAACACTGAACTTCCTAGGAGAGCTGACATATGCTGGAATAAAAGTCATCCAGACTGCACAGAATATCAGCATGCTGAAGGTGATCAGTTTGGCCTCATTGAAGTTATCAGGCAGTTTCCTAGCCAGAAAAGCCAGAATAAAACATAAGATGGCCAGAAGGCCTATGTACCCAAGTACAGCCCAAAAGCCTACAGCTGATCCCAGAGCACACTCTAAGATGATTTTGTCCTTGAACTGGGTAAAATTCTTAAATGGAAAAGGAGGAGAAATAGTTAACCAGAGGATACATATAACAACCTGGATGAGAGTGAAAGCCACAACACTGAGTCTCTGCTGTGCAGGCCCAAACCATTTCATCACATTACTGCCTGGAAGTGTAGCCCTGAAGGCCATTAACACCACTATAGTTTTCCCCAGAAAACAGGACATACAGAGGACAAAGGTGATGCCGAACGCTGTGTGTCGCAGCATGCAGGACCACTCAGAGGGCCGGCCGATGAAGGTCAGAGAACACAGGAAACACAGAGTCAAGGAGAAGAGCAGCAGGAAGCTCAGCTCAGAGTTGTTGGCCCTGACAATAGGAGTTGTCCTGTATCTGAAGAAAATGGCTGCCACAACAGCAGTCATGCATGTTCCAAATAAGGCCGCTGCAGTGAGCAGTACTCCCATAATTTCTTCATATGATAGAAACTCTGCCTCCTTCTTTACACACGCATCTCTTCTTTCATTGGACCAGGACTCAGGGTGGCATCGCTCACAGGTGGTAGAATCTGAAAATTATATGAAAGCATTAATTGAGTTGCAGAAATCACATATAAATAGACTTCCATCTTCTCTTTCAGCTCATAACTAACTGACTCCAGATTTTACTCAGGTTTGTGATACTCATCAATGCTGAGTCTTTCTGTAGGAAGAAAGTTTTTGTTTATACGAGACCCTTTGTAACCCTTTAACACACCTTCTTGTTTTAATTTATTTAATTTTTCTCATGGTGCTGTTGTGTTCTGCTTTAATTTATTGTTTTGCACGTATGTGAAGCACATTGTAACAAAGGTTTAGAAATGTGATCTATAAATAAAAGTTATTATGAATAATGAAGGTGATATCTCAGCTTTTTACTTTTGAATCAACTGCTTGGTCATTATGGAAGATGTAGTTTGTGTTATACAAATGTGTTTGTTATTTAGCCCTATTTCATTGTAATAAAATGGGTAGACAAAATAATAGAATCATTTATGAACCTTGTTTAAATTTTACTAGACCTGTAATGTTGCTTATTTCTCCCTCTGCACATCTGATACAGTCATAGCAGCAGACAGGTTTTCCTTTCTGGAGAACCTTGCGAGTTCCTGGGGGACATTTCTCACTGCAAACTGACACAGGCACCTGCATGATACAGTAACAGTAATAAAAATTTATGGGCACTTACTTTGATAGGGTTTTATCTTTGCAAAAACCTTTATTGTTAATTCTGATGCATTTAAACCAAATGTTATGATAGAGGAACAATTATACTTGCACTACAGGCCCTGTCCACATGTACATGGGTATTTAAAAAAAAGTGCTATACAGATTACCGCTATACTCAGCAACACTTACATTGATCTATTCCACAGACCCCAATGCCACCATATATCCAATAAAAAATATTTTCAGGGTTCTGAATGACTAACATGACCATAAGGTTACGGTTATATTGACAGCTGTTGGCTTGTCATACTCTTGGCAGTATGTTCTTGTGTTTTCATGTGTAAAAAATGTTGAAGGTACTTAATGTTGAACTCACTGTGAGTGGATCTAGCTGCACCTTATTATTACATGTTTCATTACAGCCAAGAATACTATGTAGTGCATGTGCCACAGCATACACTCCTTTATAGACATTGTTAAGTTTAGGCATGACTGACATATCAGTGAAGCTGTTCTGCACTCCAGTCAGATCTTCATGTCCAGTACATTTTCTCTGATTCTCTGCTGATGACTCTGACTGTCTGAACTTACAAATAAATAAAGTCTCCCACAACTCTGTAAACAATTCATTACTGGATGAATTGAGTGTCTTAAGATCTAATATGAACTCTCTCATGCCACTGACATGTGCTTTGGGGAAGACTGGACCTATGGCACCATCCAGAATGTGATGTGTATCCCTTTCTTTTGTCCGGACATCACTGATCCAGCTCTCACTTCCTACCCACTGGTACCCAGTCAAGTTATGGTGAGATAGCTCATGTATTAGCACATTCATATCCAAGTCTGAGAGAAAAGCTACAATCACCTTGGATGTAGAAGCCTTGATAATGTCAATAATCTTTTTTATTTTATCTGATGAATCCGTTCTAAAGAAAGACACAGAATACTCCAGACAGATGCCCAGCTGCTGTGCAGTTTCTGTGAATCCAGCCATGCCATCATCGCCATAATCATTATTGCTTCTAATAGCTCCAACCCAAGTCCAACCAAAGTGCTTGACCAACTGGGCCAGGGCTCTGCTCTGATAGTAGTTACTGGGTATTGTTCTGAGGAAGGATGGGTATTTGGTTTTGTCACTGAGACAAGCACAGGTGGCAGAGGGACTGATCTACAAGAAAAAGAAATGACCTCCCAAGATAAAGATAGAGAACAATCACACATTCACATTTGCTCTGAGCAGCTGGAGTAATTGCGCCATTATTACTAATTAATGATTATTTATAATTACATAGTTACCAGTCTTACCCACAACTGGGATATGATATATCTTATTCTGAAAAAGCCTTGTTAGCA